TAAGACACCTTTTGATGTAATGGTCAGAATTTCATTAAGAAACTCTGTAGTTAAGCGTGTTCATCCCAAAAAAATCCTAGGATGAATGACCTCCTGGAAATTACATCAATATGACAAAGTCGTGAGACCCTTAGACCAAAGAGGACAATATCTCAATAGTTAAGAGTTTAGACTATTACAAATGGTATCAGAGTAATACATCAGCTATAAGATACAAACTAAGTATCATACAACATAAAGTGATACGTCAGAGGAGACATCTTTTAAACCTTATATGAGACAAAGTGCTATATGGCGGGAATCACCACTTGAACTTGTAGGGGCCACCTCTAGAATCCTATGTGCATGGTGGATGATTCTAGAATAAATATGCTGACGAGGATGTTAGTTACTTAAGTCGGGGGAGATTGTGAAACCCCTTAAGTAAAAAAAAAAAGCTAAGCACTTAAATATCGAGGCACCTTTTGTTGTAATGTTCAAAATTTCATTAAGAATATATAGTTAAGCATGCTCATTTTGGAGAAATCTTAGGATGGGTGACCTCTTGGGAAGTTACATAAATATGACAAAATCACGAGACCCTTAGACCAAAGAGTATAATATCTCAATAGTTAATAGTTTGAACTGTTACACATTTATCATGTCTTTCTTGTTTTTCCTTGTCATCTCCAACGTGCTCTCTTCATGCTAATGAACACCCATCATGAGGGTTTTGAGATCTTGACACGAGGTTAAGGCTGTTGTTATTCTGGTAAGTCGAGTTCAAGCTCACCGTATGAACTTGACTTGAGCTCGAGCTTTAGTTAGAGCTTGTCATTGGGTAGGTGAGCCAAGTTTGAATAACTCGTGACTCAAGTTAATCTCTATTGATTTACACCCATAAATTGACAATATACCTAACCTATAATATAATATATTATGAAAATCCTCTCAACTATAATGTTTACATTTATCTCAAAAGTCTGCACACCTTGAACCGAGCTTAGCAATCAATCAGTAAGGGTGTTAATAAATGACTTGGGATGACATTAATATTTATATTATATACATAATTTTTTTGAAATTGAATTGACCTGTTTACTATTTGGATTAAATTCAAATTTAATTTATAGCCTTGGTTATCATATGATTTTAATTTAATTTAACATGTATAATTTGAAATCAATTTCAAATTGATCCATTAATATTCAAGTTGGATCAGATATAATTTAGGGTTGTTAATTTAGGCTTTATTTAGAATAATTTTCTTAATGATTTCAAAAACAACTTTTTAGTTCAAACATTTCTAGTTTAAAATTTGCTTTAGAAAATAATAAGAAAGTCGTCTCAAATAAAGCCTTAAGCTTTGTTTGAGACGACTTTCTTTTTGCTTTCTAAAATAGTTTTTTAGTTTTAAAAAATGATTTAACAATTTTTTAGCCAAAAAAAAAAAAAGTTTGAAAGTAAGAAAAAAACTATTCCAAACCCTAAGCCTAAGTCAAATGAGTCAATATTATTCACTTAATTGGCTTGTGTTGCTTAAAATTATGATTATGCATCTCATATCGTTAAATATTTTCAGGTGGCCCTAGGTGCAATTAGCTATGGAGAAATTATTCTATGCAGATTCCGGACGTAGGTCTACGTTAAGACTCCAATACATAATCGACATGTATTTTTTGGATATTTTGTACATCAACGTGGATTTTTTTACTAATGCGTGACCCGACGATCTAGCCTGATTATTTTAGTTTACGCTCCTTTAAAAAAAAATTGTGACTGGTTCTCAAGGTTTAGGGCTTTTCAGAGAATAGAACTTTTCCCTGAATAGTCTCCAAAATTTTCGAGGAAACGACGAAGAAGATGGAGACTGCTTTTGGTGACGTTCAAATCTCTGATGATATGATATGCTCACAGGACGCGGATGCTAAAAACTTTAAGATAAGAAGGATGATAAGTTTACAGGATAGTGCAGAGATTGCAATGTAGGATGAATGGGAAGTCAATTTGGAGGAAGGAGCTATATATTTAAACTTGTATGTAAATTTTTACGGATTATTATGTATTATTTAATTTTATTCTTATGAGGAATGCTCAAATAGAATAGATATGCAAAATAACATTTGTTCTCGCCTTTTTTTTTTCTTTTCTAATTTTTTTTTTTACGTTTAGTTAGAAATATTGAAAGACCAGATGAAATTTTCCCTTAGATAAACGGTGCTTAATGATTTGTATGGTGTCATTCCACTTTCAATACATTATGCACGTGTATACTATTTTTATTTTTTTTGTGAATTTTTGGGAATATATTCTGCTCCTCATACAATATGTGTATTAATTCTCTTGTACACAATGTGTATAATTTTTTACACTGTACACAATGTTTAGAGGATGTGTATAGTTGTACACAGAATGTACAAGGCTGTGCACATTGTGCACAAGATTGTACACACTATTTACAAAGGTTGTCTACAATGTTTAGAGGCTATGTATAGGTTGTACACAATGTACAACAACCTTGTTGTGTACAGGTTTGTTGAGGCGGGCCTCAAGAAAATAAAATGTTGCTTCAAAAAAAAAAATAAAAAAACATTATGAACAAAATAATCATAATAATAATAAAAAAAGAGATTATACGGAATCAGATAAACCCAGTCATCACTAATATCATTAAATATATCAGAGACTTGGATGGCAGAAAAGAAAATATTGCTCCCCAATGAAAGAAACAGGGTCTTGCTTCAGACGCTGTAAGGTCAAGAAGGGATGTGTGCTTTAAAACCAAATATGCATATAATCAATAGGTAGTATTAGAAAAAAGAACAATTTCACCTTTAAGAATTTTAATATTAGTAATATAATTAGAGAGAGTACTCGTCATTAATAAAGGAACAAAGCCACTAATATATCCTAAGGCGCATCATTAGCATACTTCATCGCCATACGATCAAACTAAACAACTAAGAAATTCCTAATTGACATAGCCCAATTATACCCAATGAACTCATCTATATTCTGGGCAATAATAATGAGACTCCTTGAGATTCTATAATCATTATTGGGAAAAAATTTGAACAACAAAAACTTGATATACATATTTGCGCGCAATAACGTCAGGGGGCATGATTTATTAATATTCTTTATTTTATTTTTAATTTGAATTCCAATATAACTAGTTAGTGGCTCAGCTTCCCAGTATATCAAATCATCTATGTTTGGCAAACTTATCATTAGAGCCACTTCATATGCTGTAAATCTTAGCCTGTGCCCCCTTTGATTATGCATGTTTGCTTAGGCACATCCCAACATGTAGATTAGGGGTGTATTTTATTGAAATCGAGAGAACTTTGTAAATTGAAATATGTTAACTTCTTCAAAGCATCCTTTACTTCACCACTTAATAACCCTTTTAAAGAATAGCATAAATTTCTAAATATTAAGAGTTTGTAACCAAAAGTAATATTTGGGATGTACATCTGCAACAAGAAAAGTTAAAAATATTTATTAATTTGCATTATACAAAAACTATAGAAGATTAAATATATGTGTACATGGTTGAACACAAAGTTTATATTGCTAATAGAAGCTTGTACAGTTGTACATAGTGTGTACAAGGCCTTGTACATAGGTCTTGTACATAGTGTACAAGGTCTTGTACATAATATGTACAAGTTGTCTATATTTCTCTTAAAATAGACGAGCTAGTAAATTTTTTTTCTCATTATCAAATGCATTATATTTTTTTCAAAGTTATTGTAGACATCTGCAGCAAGAAAAGTTTAAAATATTTATTAACTTGTCTTATACAAAAATTATAGAATATTGAATATATGTGTACATGGTTAAACACAAAGTTTACATTAATAACACAAGCTTGTACACAATATATACAAGGGGTCTAGATTTCCCTTAAAATGCTTGAGTTTATAAAATATTTTTTTTTCTCATTATCAAACACATTATATTTATTTGAAATTTATTGTAAAAAGTTTGTACAAGAAATTATTATGTGGAGTCAAAACAGTTAATATGGTGTCAAATGTAATACAGGACTTCGTAAAACTGGGTGTATGTAAACTTTGCATCTGGATTCAACACAAAATAATTTCAGTTACAAAGAAACCAAAATACTTAATGCAAGTTTGCCATTCATGCCTACAAAATGCTGATATTAAAATAATTGAGCAATAGAAACGATGAATAAATTTATATTTACATGAATTTTTTTTTTGAAGAGAGAGCTTGTCTAAACAGTAAACATGAAGGATAGAGCTTGCCTTCTTGAAGATAAAAAAGAGAATTGTGAAGATCACATTCCTTTTTTGAAGAGGAAAAATGGAACTTTTATTAGGTCCGGTGTCCTGACGTAGCTCTACGTTCGGACGTCAGTAAAATGTTGACACGTGCTCTTACTCTTTACCGCGCGGCTCGACGACCCGACCCGGATCGGACCCGAGATTGCTATGTATTGGCTGATTTGTGCAGACTGAGGTATTGCTTATTGCTCGCTATTGCTCGACAATAACGAGAAATATCATTATGTGAAGACCAATACCTAGCAATACCGAGCAATACCCCGGTTTTGCTGGGTATTGCTCGATATTGCTAGGTATTGCTCGATATTGCTCGGCAAGCAATACCTAGCAATGCCGAGCAATATCTAGCAATACCGAGCAATACATATCAATACGCGAACATAGCAATCCCGGGTTTCGGTCCAAGTTGGGTCGTCGGGCCGCGCGATAAAAAGTAAAAACACGTGGTGATATGTTATTGACGTCCGAACGTAGAGCTACGTCAGGACACCGGACCTAATAAAAATTCGGAAAAATGACATTCAAACACCAAAATCCTAAAACTTTTGTCCGCGTAATTTCAAAATTGACGGAGACACGGCTCTCTTTTTTCAAAATACTATCTTAAGACCGATTGGATCGTCGGGTCGCAAATCAAGTAAAAAAAATCCAAATGACTATTTAAAATAACTTAAACCGAAAAATAGGCTTCGAATAACCCAAAAAATTATTGGAGTCCGGACCTAAGCACATAATATTTTCTCTCAGCGACGACGCATTCAACCTGCACGGCTTTCCATCTCTCTCCAGCGAGCGGACGAGTGCAAAACCCCGATGAGCTCTGAATTTGGCTAATCACCTCTCGGAAACTTTCATTCCCAACTTTATTTCTGTTGGCCTCTCTAAGAGCGAGATACCATGGACGAAGAGAACATCGGCCCTTTCCGTCGGACCTCGGCTCGAACGAGGAAGGTCGCTTCCAAGATGGCTGCAGCTCTAGCCAGCACAGATAACCGGACGCAGGTTAACTACAACTCACACTAAAATAATCTCTCTTAATTGGAAGATAAAATTTGCAATCTATATAGTTGTTTTCAGGCGGACTGTTCTAAAAGTATTCGGTTTTACTCGATTTATTTGATTCTTTGGTTCAGAGTGGCCAACCCTGCTGCTAAATGCCGATTTTATTTGCAAAACTTGTGCTTTTTGAGGGATTTGATATTTACGGAATGGTTTGATGGAGTATTTCAGGCAGCGCTTGCACGTCTAGAGGCTCTGGAAAGTGACAATGTTGGAGCTGAGGCTGCTGAGATCAACGATGATGATGATGCCTCTTTGGATGATGAAGATCAAGGTTTTTCATTCATGTCTACTTTTCTTACTTGCGTTTATGTAGCAATATAAAACTTTAGACTTAATTAAGTTACTTGCATCTCTTAATTACATGCACAATTTTTTGATAGAAGAAATTAAAATTACTACATGCATATGTATCATTCACCTACTGAAAGGGAATTGGAAGGGCAAACATTTAGATGATACTGGATGGAGAATGCGTGTGAAAAGTAGCATATTCTTCAGGCTATCTGCATTCAAAACTCAACTAACATGTGTTTGTTAGGTGTTTGGGTATTGATCTTTAATACTGGTAGGGATCTTATTGTGGATTATGTTTGATAGAATGGACACCTTCCCTTTTTGCTTCAAAGTAAAAGCCCCAAGTTTGTTACCAAATGAAGTAGGAACTTGTTATTCCATCATATTCTTCCCAGTATGCTCATTTTTAATAGAAAATTCTATGGTGGCGCCTCTTAATGCTGCCACTTCTTCACTAGTTTAGTCTAGAATCGCATCATGAATTTCATGAAGTTTCTTTCTCATTTCTGCAATACTTTTTTTTTTTGGTTCTCCTATCCTCTAGCCTTTGTTCTTCTTGTTACGACTTGTTTAGTGCCTTTAAATGTCTCTTTTGTGCTGGATTCATCAATGCAACTGCTCCCATGGTCGCTTTTAAGGCTTATTTCTTGCTTCAATCATAGCATCTTCAAGTAAAATATTTTGTAGAGTTCATTCTTTGTGGAGCCCAAGAGTAGTCTAAAATGCAAATTGTAAGAGTAAGGGAAAAAATGTTGTTTTGAAGAAGGCTATGTAACTGGAAAAGACTCTTGAAAAAACAATGTTCATCACTATTTTCTCTTTTTGATGTTAATAGCTTGAATGGTTATTATATAAAGAACTTAGGTGTTATATAACTAGCTTTCGCATTAAAAACCATTAGATTTTTAAGGTTGGAATGAGTAGAATAATTGATGCAAGTGATTTTAATTTTAACCAATTCTATTATGGGATAAACACCGAACAATAAATATTTTAAATTTAAAACCCTCTTAAAATTCAAATTAAACAACCACCCCACAAAAAATGAAAAAAAAAAGATAATAAATGAAAAAGAAAATGATAAAACAGAAATTTGGGTTCACTAGTATCCACTATGCTGCTTGTATTGAGATGCCTTTAAATTGCATTTATTAATGATTTCATTGGACTGAAGATCAATCGTGGAATAAAATTCTTTGAACCAAAGTTGTTAATCAGTTTGAAGAGGTGTGTTATGCTTAATATGCTTGGTAGCACTTTCGTGGCGTGTGCTTGAACTTGATTGTTATAAGAGTTTTTAAGGATTTACTGAAATCCTATAATAATAGCCTTAATGTTACTCTCACTTAGGTGAATCATTGAAGGGTTTTAGTAACATGATGAGCCTTTTAGAAATTATTGTTTGAAGTTATGGAGAGCTAAGCTCAACTAAAACGCCACACCACATAATACATTACTAAAAGGATGGGGTTGGATTTGAACTCTTAATAGATTATGCTCCCTTTATCACACAATTTAATTTTAATTCTACCCTTTGAACCTTTGGATCAAAAGGCCACAAAGGTAAGGATCCACTGTTGGTGGTTTTCATATGAGCTTAAACTCACACCCTAGATGATATAAAGCACAAAGGTCCTTAATAAATCATTTCATCTCTCAATGTTTTTTTTTTTAAACATCAACTCAAAATTTAATAGAAAGAGATCACATTGGTGTCATAACTATATTAGTCAATATGTTATTTGGTAAGTATGGATAACTCCCATTTTAACTGCCTTGTGCCAAGAATTATTAACAATACTTGAAAACATGTTGTTGGTTGTATGAATTCATCATTTCTTTGTACATACCAACATGCTTGTAATGAAAAATTACCACAATTTTGTAATGTCTAATGTCTAACATACTAAATATTTGTTTAGATGTACAGAAAATTTTCTCTATCTAACTTATACGAGTATGCAGAGTTATCTACCAATATGTATCTAATATCTATAAATTTGTTATCTATCATTCTATCTAATATCTATAAGTATATTATCTGCGACCATCTACTTATATTTTACAAATTTGTTACCTACCACCTATAGGCATTATATAATGAGATAGTTGCATGGTGTTTAAGATTTACAAGCAAATCAGGGAGAAGTATGAAAGGGAAAGGAGGTGCTGTTAGTTTTGGTTCTATAGAAAGGAGAACTTTTTGACCATGCTAGAGAAATGCTCTTTATAACGCAGAAAGGAAGAGAGTAATAACAACATCAATAATGCTTTCTTCCCCCACTTTCAACTCTTATTGTCATAGAAAGTGGTTGCATTAACTTTCAATAAGTAACATAGCATTTAGGCTCACCTGCATGAGTAAACAACAAATAATTTCGGGAAGATGATAACAATTAATAGGCTTTGAATTCTTTGTGGCTTTTTGACTTTTGCCATGTAAGTATTATGCTTAGACTGATTTTGATCATTTTATGGTTCCTCTTGCCTTTTATCAAATATTAATGGTTCTTCTAATTCAATATGTTTTGTAGTGGAATTCCCATTTTCATTTTTGCTTGATCTATCTACGTCATAGTTTTTTTGAAAAAAAAATTATTCTTTTGATTATTTCTTTATTCTCAACATCCCAAAATCTTTAACAATAGGTATATTAAAACTGAAATAAAATCCTAAATATAGCCTAAAATACTAAGTCATCTTGTTACATATCTTCTATTTCATCACAAGGCCTTAGTTATAAACTCATCACTCGTGTTGTGGTTAATATGTGATTTGTTTGTCTTCCTTTAGTAAAATTCAGTAGTCTAATTAATTTGTTTTTGTATGATGATTTGAGGGGTGAAGTTGTTCCCTATGAGGAGGCTAAAATTTTCGTTTAGAGTTTAGACCATTTTAGGAGTAAATCTTTGAAACATATGAGATGAAATAGTTTATATTAGTTGATGGGAAAATATCTTTAACGGGTCATAATTTATAGGCCCAGGCTATTCCTTTAAGAAAAGGTGAGTTAGAAAGATGATAAAATGAAGAAAAATCTTAAAAAGTTGGACTAGAAGATCTCAAGTAATAAACATCCTATTATGTGGTAAAGAATTAGCAATTTAGCATAGAAAGGAAATAATGAAATTATTCGTCTTTTATTATTCTGGCTGAGCATGACAGTTGATATTGCTTGGTATTACTCTGCTGTGTTCACTTGTTAAAAATGAAGATGTTCATTTAGTTGCTGGCCATGTTTAGTCAATACTAAACATAGTTCATCTAAGACATCAAAACTTCCATTATTTGTGCTACCCAAAAACACCAAAAAAAATTTTGGGTTATCAAAGTATTGCACTAACCTACCATATCCATTCTTCACAACTTGTTCTTCCTACTTTTACTATGCATCCAACATAACATTATCATTTTTTGTAAGATAATCATTTACATTTTCCTTCCTATTTTTAGAGCATGTATAGCACATTATCCTCATATATGCCACACATAACTTCTTTTCATCATGACATTCACATTCAAATGCTCTTTAGAAAAAAATATTCCTTTAATCATATTTTCTCATTCTCTTCAACATCCTTTTGCCACAATTTTCCAACTTATAGTTGAACGGAACATCTTAGAAAGACAAACCGAGCGACACTAAATTCAACTCAATTCGAGCCCAAATGGGTCCAAATCAAAGACTCAATGCTCATTTGGAATGGTCAAAGCATTATTTGGATGACAAAATAATATCCAAATATCACATGCTTATAGTCAAATCGAGCGGCTCGGCGAGACAAATCTAACGAGCCTAAGATCGCTGAATTCCGACATTGTTAAGGCATTGAAACAATAGAAAACTCTCTAAGATCGAGGGAATCAATACGAGTCATCCTATGGAGCACTCGGAACCTGCTCCGGATCTTCTCTATATTTACGGGGTGTGCCACTCATGAAAATCTATAAATAGACATCCACTTTCTATATGAAGGGGACAGGGGGCTAAAGATTGGAGAGAGCTCTGAGACTTCAAGAGCTTATGCACCACAGTCGGCGAACTAACATCGGCTTTTGTCGGACCACCGTCGGATTTCCACCCGGCAGTCAACCATCGCCGAACTTCAGCCCGACCTTCGTCGGACTACCATCCGGCCACTGATCACCGCCAAACTTCCACCCGGCCACCGACCGCCGCCGGACTTCAACCGCCGACCGTTGTCGGACTTCAGCCTGACCATGGTCTGACCACCTCCCGGCCGTCGACCGTCGCTGGACTTCCACCCGGTCGCTGATTGTCATTTGACTTCATCCCAACATTCGTCGGACCACCGCCCGGCCGCAGATTGCCACCAGACTTCCACCTTGCAACCGACCGTTGTCGGATATTAGCCCAATAGTTGTCGGACCACTGCCCGGCTGCTGATTATCGCCGGGCTTCCACCTGGCCGCCGACCACCGCCAGACTTCAGCCAGACCTTCGTAGAACCACTGCCCGGCTGCCGATCACCACCAAACTTCCACCCTGCCGCCAATTGTCGCCGGACTTTAGCCAAACCTTCATCGGACCACCGCCTGGCTGCCGATCACCGCCAAGCTTCCACCAGGCCGCCGATCGTTGCAGAACTTCAGCCCGACCTTCGTCGGACCACCGCTCGACCGTCGACTGTCGTCGTACTTCCACCCGGCTGTCGACCGCCGTCGGGCTTTAGCCCGACCTTCGTCGGACCACCGCTCGACAGCCGATCACCATCGAGCCACTGAATTTTAGCCCGACTGTTGTCGACCACTGCCCAGTCGCCGGCCGTCGTCGGACTTCCACCCGGCCGCCGACCGTCATCGCATTTCTACCCAATGTTGAACTTCTACCCGTCATTGGATTTCCGCCCGTCGTCGAACTTCCGCCTGTCGCCAGAATTTTGTCGGGCTTCTACCAAACGTCGAACTTCCATCCATTACTGGACTTCCAACCTTTATCGCCCGCTAACTACGATC